GACGAGGACCACCGAGGAAGACGGGGCCAGAAGGAGGACGAGGACCACCGAGAAGACGTAAAAAGGAAAACCACCGAGGAAGAGGGGGGTAGGAGGGAGGAGGACAAAGAAGACGGGGCGAGGAGGAAAGGACCACCGAGGAAAGGGGGGGAAGGAAGGAGGACGAGGACACCGAGAAGAAGGAAGGAGGACGAGGACCAAGGAAAGACGGGGCGAAGGACGGAGGACCACCGAGGAAGACGGGGAAGGAGGACGAGGGACCACCGAGGAAGACGGGGCGAAAGAGAGGAACGAGGACCACGAGGAAGACGGGGCGAAGGAGGACGAGGACCACCGAGGGAAGGGGGGGCGAAGGAGGACGAGGACCACCGATGGGGAAGACGGGGCGAGGAAGACGGGTGCGGGAGCGAGGACCACGAGGAGAACGGGGGGCGAAGGAGGACGAGGGACCAGAACCGAGGAAGACGGGAAAGAAAGGGGGGACACTGGAGGACGAGGAAAACGAACCACGAGGAAGACGGGGCGAAGGAGGGAGACGAGGACCATGAGGAGGAAGACGGGGGGCGAGGACCGGGTACAACTGAGGAAGAAGGGGCGAAAGGAGGACAAGGACCGAGGACCACTGAGGAAGACGGGGCGAAGGAGGGAGGACAAGGACGAGGAGGACCACTGAGGAAGACGGGGGGGCGAGGACAAGGGGGAGAGGACCAGGGAAAGACGGGGCGAAGGAGGACAAGGACGAGGACCTGAGGAAGACGGGGCGAAGGAGGAGGAAGGAGAGGACCACTGAGGACGGGGCGAAGGAGGACAAGGAGACGAGGACCGGAGGAAGAGGAGGGGGCGAAGGAGGACAAAGGACGAGGACCACTGAGGAAGACGGGGGAAGGAGGACAAGACGAGGACCACTGAGGAAAGACGGGGCGAAGGAGGACAAGGACGAGGGACCACTGAGGAAGACGGGACGCGAAGGAGGACAAGGACAACATGAGGAGGACGAGGGCGAAGGAGGACAAGGGAAAGGAGGAAGACGGGGGCGAAAGGAGGACAAGGACACTGAGGGAAGACGGGGCGAAGGAGACAAGGACAAAGGACCACCGAGAAGGAAGACAAGGGGGCGAAGGAGGACAAGGACGAGGACCACTGAGGAAGACGGGGCGAAAGAGGACAAGGACGAGGACCACTGAGGAAGACGGGGCGAAGGAGGACAAGGAGGAGGACCACTGAGGAAGACGAGGTGAAGGAGGATGAGGAGGACCGAGGAAGACGGGGCGGAAGCAGGACGAGGATGACAGGAAGGGGGGACGATGGGGTGAAGGATGACAGAGGAAGACAGGGAGGAGGGGCCAGTATACAAATCAGGGGAAGAATGGGGGGACAGATGAGATGACAGACGGGGCCAAAGCCATAGAATGGGGTACAAGTGGGGGGCACATGGAGCACAAGGGGGGGGGGGAAGGTCAGGGGGGGGGGCACTGGGGGGGGGGGGGATGGGATAAATGGGTAAAAAAAGGGGTCTGGTGTCATCAGTGGGGAGCGGATGTGGTAATGAGGGGTACACGGGGGGGGTATGTCGGGTACATATTGGGGGGGGGGGAAGGGGCACACCGGGCCCGGAGGCCGGCACACATGATGTAAACGGGGGGAGGATGAAGTGTGAGGACACACCACTCCTCTCCTCTCCTCACCCCCGGGACTACATCCCCGCCATGACTCACACTCCCTCCAGCGCGATCCGACATTTTCCGCCGGTTGTCTTCTCCGTCCGTCACTCGGCTCTCTCTCTCACCCGCCGAATTATTTCATCCAGCCTGTAGGCCACGGCAAGATGGCGGCGGTACCAGCGGAAGAATACACGGCGGAAGAGGGGTGCGCTACGCCTTCTCTGGTCGGCGGAAGGATACGACGTTGAACTTAGCGCGCCGCTGCCAGAGGAGCCGGGACTACATGCATGCGCGCCTGCGTGGTGGGGGCTCCCGCGGGAGGGCCAGTTTCCATAGTCACGGGGTTTAGAGCTTCCTGGAAGGGGACGTCACCGCGCAGCTGCGTTCTAGTTCCCGGGGAAGGAGGTAGAACATGGACACAATGTCATATCACGTGACTGGGGGAGGAGCTCAGACTAGACAGTGCATGGAGACCAATCATTGAAATCTCGTAGAACCTTTATATTATATTATACCAGATTGTATTATTATTATTGTATATTATATATTCCTCAGTAGTCTGTATGGCCCCCACGTGCTTGTATGCATGCCTGACAACGTCGGGGGAGGCTCCTAATGAGACCACGGATGGTGTCCTGGGGGATTTCCTCCCAGATCTGGACCAGGGCATCACTGAGCTCCTGGACAGTCTGAGGTGCAACCTGGCGGCGTCGGATGGACCGAAACATGACATCCCAGAGGGGTCCTATTGGATTTAGGTCAGGCAAATGTGGGGGCCATTCAGTGGTATCAATTCCTTCATCCTCCAGGAACTGCCTGCATACTCCCCCCACATGAGGCCGGGCATTGTTGTGTACCAGGAGGAACCCAGGAGCCACTGTACCAGGAGGAACCCAGGAGCCACCGCACCAGGAGGAACCTAGGAGCCACCGCACCAGAAGAAACCCAGGAGCCACCGTACCAGAAGGAACCCAGTAAGGATCCACCGCAGAAGGAACCCAGGTCCCACCGCACCAGAAGGAACCCAGGGTCCCACCGCACCAGGAGGAACCCAGGTCCCACCGCACCAGGAGGAACCCAGGTCCCACCGCACCAGAAGGAACCCAGGTCCCACCGCACCAGAAGGAACCCAGGTCCCACCCCACCAGAAGGAACCAGGTCCCACCGCACCAGAAGGAACCCAGGTCCCACCGCACCAGGAAGAACCCAGGAACCACCGTACCAGGAGGAACCCAGGACACATTGCACCAGGAGGAACCCAGGAGCCACCGTACCAGGAGGAACCCAGGAGCCACCATACCAGGAGGAACCCAGAAGCCCACCGCACCAGGAGGAACCCAGGAACCACCGCACCAGGAGGAACCCAGGACACATTGCACCAGGAGGAAACCAGGAGCCACCGCACCAGGAGGAACCCAGGACACATTGCACCAGGAGAAACCCAGGAGCCACCGCACCAGGAGGAGCCCAGGAGCCACCGCACCAGGAGGAACCCAGGAGCCACCGCACCAGGAGGAACCCAGGAGCCACCGCACCAGGAGGAACCCAGGAGCCACCGTACCAAGAGGAACCCAGGACCCACTGCACCAGCGTAGGGTCTGACAATGGGTCCAAGGATTTCATCCCCATACCTAATGGCAGTCAGGGTTCCATTGTCTAGCCTGTAGAGGTCTGTGTGTCCCTCCATGGATATGCCCCCCCAGACCATCACTGACCCACCACCAAAAACGGTCATACTGAACCATGTTACAGGCAGCAGAATGTTCTCCACGGCTTCTCCAGACCCTTTCACGTCTGTCACATGTGCTCAGGGGGAACCTGCTCTCATCTGTGAAAAGCACAGGGTGCCAGTGGTGGACCTGCCAATTCTGGGGTTCAATGGCCAATGCCAATCCAGCTCTATGGTATCAGGCAGTGAGCACAGGGCCCACTAGAGGACGTTGGGCCCTCAGGCCACCCTCATGAAGTCTGTTTCTGATTGTTTGGTCAGAGACATTCCCACCAGTGGCCTGCTGGAGGTCATTTTGTAGGGCTCTGGCAGGGCTCATCCTGTCCCTCCTTGCACAAAGGAGCAGATACCGATCCTGCTGATGGGTTAAGGACCTTCTACAGCCCTGTCCAGCTCTCCTAGAGGAACCGCCTGTCTCCTGGAATCTCCTCCATGCTCTTGTCTCCTGGAATCTCCTCCATGCTCTTGTCTCCTGGAATCTCCTCCATGCTCTCGTCTCCTGGAATCTCCTCCATGCTCTCGTCTCCTGGAATCTCCTCCATGCTCTCGTCTCCTGGAATCTCCTCCATGCTCTCGTCTCCTGGAATCTCCTCCATGCTCTCGTCTCCTGGAATCTCCTCCATGCTCTCGTCTCCTGGAATCTCCTCCATGCTCTCGTCTCCTGGAATCTCCTCCATGCTCTCGTCTCCTGGAATCTCCTCCATGCTCTTGTCTCCTGGAATTTCCTCCATGCTCATCTCTCCTGTTTCTGAACTTTTTGAAGACCATATGTGTGGTGTGTGTGTGTGTATATATATACATTATATTGCCCAAAGTATTGGGCCTCCAGCTTTTCCACCCACATGACCTTTAATGACCTCCCAGTCTTAGTACGTAGGGTTCAATATTGAGTTGGCCCCGCCCTTTCCACGCACATGACCTTTAATGGCCCCCCAGTCTTAGTCCGTAGGGTTCAATATTGAGTTGGCCCCGCCCTTTGCAGCTATAACAGCTTCAACTCTTCTGGGAAGGCCGTCCACAAGGTTTAGGAGGGTGTCTATGGGAAGGTTGGACCATTCTTCCAGAAGCACATTTGTCAGGTCAGGCACTGATGTCGGGGGAGGAGGCCTGGCTCGCAGTCTCCGCTCTAATTCATCCCAAAGGTGTTCTATGGGGTTGAGGTCAGGACTCTGTGCAGGACAGTCAAGTTCCTCCACCCCAAACTGGCTCCACCATGTCTTTATGGACCTTGCTTTGTGCACTGGTGGGCAGTCATGTTGAAACAGGAAGGGGCCATCCCCAAACTCTTCCCACAAAGTTGGGAGCATGAAATTGTCCAAAATGTCGCCTTAAGAGTTCCCTTCACTGGAACTAGGGGGCCAAGCCCAACCCCTGAAAAACAACTCCACAACCATAATCCCCCCTCCACCAAACTTTACACTTGGCACAATGCAGTCAGGCAAGTACCGTTCTTCTGGTCACCGCCAAACCCAGACACGTCCATCAGATTGCCAGACAGAGAAGCGTGATTGGTCCCTCCAGAGAACACGTCTCCACTGCTCTAGAGTCCAGTGGCGGCGTGCTTTACACCACGGCATCCGACGCTTTGCATTGCACTTGGTGATGGAAGGCTTGGATGCAGCTGCTCGGCCATGGAAACCCATTCCATGAAGCTCTCTATGCACTGTTGTTGGGCTCATCTGAAGGCCACACCAAGTTTGGAGGTCTTTAGCTATTGACTCTGCAGACAGTTGGCGACTTCTGCGCACTGTGCGCTTCAGCATGTGCTGACCCCGCCCTGTCATGTGACGTGGCCTACCACTTGGTGGCTGAGTTGCTGTTGTTCCCAGTTGCTTCCACTTTGTTATAATCCCACTAACAGTTGAGCGTGGAATATTTAGTAGCCAGGAAATGTCACGGATGGACTTATTGCCCAGGTGGCCACCTATCACGGGACCACGCTTGGAGTCACTGAGCTCCTGAGAGCGACCCATTCTTTCACCAATGTTTGTAGAAGCAGTCTGCATGCCTAGGGAATGATTGTATACTCCTGTGTCCATGGAGGGGATTGGAACACCTGAATCACATGATTGGGAGGGGATTGGAACACCTGAATCACATGATTGGGAGGGGATTGGAACACCTGAATCACATGATATGGAGGGGATTGGAACACCTGAATCACATGATATGGAGGGGATTGGAACA